CTTGCAAATGTCATTTGAAAAATCACATTGGACTTTGAATTTGAGGCAAAGTAATGCTTTTATGATATTGAGGCAGACTCACCATCACATGGAAATTTTTTAAACTATTGCTTCATTTAGGATCTCCAAATAGTGATTTATTTGCCAAAAGAAGGTGATCTATCACTGATGTATCTTTCACAATCCCCTGGAACAGTGCCTAATACATAGTAATATTTAGTGTTTGTGGAATCTGTCATTGGTTAAGAAGCTTTAGAGGGATATAAACTCTAAATATGATCTCCTACTTTAAGCTTACAACTTGAGAAAGGAATGAGGACAGATGAGAGTAATAGACAGGTATATAACTTAGTAAAAGTTATATACCTGATCATGTTATTTTATTCCTCTTTTTCTGTGTCACTTTTACACACCACCTAAAAAATAGTTGAATGGGCAAATGCAGCATTGCATCTATGTATTTGTCTTACTCTTTAAATGATTCCGATGAGCCTTTTTAAAGTTTATTTTTAAGTCAATATATTAAAATATAATAAGAAGGACAGAAATCATAAGGAGAGAATGAAGCCGACTGGCAAAGGTACGGTTTGCTTTTGAAGGCAAGTGTGAAGTAGTATAATCATTTAGGATAAGTTATCCTTCCCCCTCCAACCCTACACAATAGCTAAAGAAGGAAAACAGAGAAGATAGGGGGTTTTGTTTTGTTTTCCCCTCTTTAGGTAAATGAATAGGTTCCATCAGCTAACTGGCTGGATGATTTTCCTGCTAACAGCTTCATTTTCATGTAGAACAGCAACTGGTAGCCCAAAGATGTTAAGAGAAAAAGTTTGAGTCCTGATTGTAAGGCTTTCTCCAATACCCATCCTCTCTCTTCTTGCTTCCCTGTGCTTCAGGCCCTATTTTTTGGGTCTCTCACCTCTTCTTATTTTCTTTTAATGCTCTCTATTCAGAGGGAAAACTAGCTTTCAGTGCTAGGCTTTTCAATAGACTTAGCTTTCAAATAGTAAGATATGACCCTAGGATTTGAAATTTTCACTGTGCTACAGAAAATTGCCTGGAGGAAACAGAATGTTTACCTGAAATATGTCACGATGAAGGACAGCTTAATACTATTGCTGTATCCCTGGTGCCTAGCAAAGTGCTTGGTGCACGAGAGAGGCTGAATACATATCTGATAAATGAATGAATGTATGTGTCTATAAATGCCATATGTATATAAAAAAGCCAGACTTAAGATAAAAGATACTCTTTGTACTACATGGCACATAAAAATTAAAAGGCATTAATGTAGGTACAAAAGTCACCTGTGGGAACAAACAGAATTCTGATATTACTTTTGAATTTGGATATATTTTATTTCCAAAATGAAATACCTAAATCATTTAAAAAGTAATAGAGATATAACAGTCCCTTATTCACTCACTTGCAAAGGAAATTTTCAATACAAATAAAGTCATACATATTTATACTAGGGTAATTCAAAATAACTTCCTCACATAAGCACTCTACGTTCAAATAAAATCTTGCCAACACTTCTGAGTACATTGCTTTAAGAAAAAACATGCTCCCCGTAGCGTCCGAACTATTTAAAAATCTTGCAGGCTTCTTCAACATACATCAGTTATCTCTCTTGAAATCACTGACAAGAATTTAAAAACTGCTTCATCAGAACAAATGCTACCCTTTCTCCTACTCTAGTTAGAACCTGATCTTCAAAAAAAAAAAAGACCATATTTACAGCTTCTTTTGAAATTTTGAAACCATTTGGCTGATATGTTTTTGCTACATTTTCCCCCCTGATTTAATTACTGGGGACATTTGCATGAAAACAGGAGAATAGGAACATACGAATTTTGTCTTGTGAGTTCATCTGTTTCTGATGCTCATTCCCCACCTGAGATCAGTATCTGTTTTATTACAATGGGGAGACCAGGGAACCAGGATTGGAATTGATAAAAAAAATTGTTAAAGGTGAAATAAAGTTCAAAAATAGAGACTCAGGAGGCTATGGGATTGATGGGTGATATGATAACGAATTCTTCTAGGTTACTTATTTACGAGCCGTCCATATTGTCAGTGACACATGGCGTTGCTATCAAAAAGGTTAGAAAACCAGGAAACTATATAGAACTAGTGGGTCAATGCTTCTTTAAGAAAGCTACACCCAAGCAGTTACTGCTTTGTCATAGGTGTGGACAGACAGAAGAGAAAACAATGAAGGAGTCTGGGTCATGTAGGAACTAAGTTGGAAAGGAAATAAAGCAAAATGCCTCTCTAATTCTGACCATTTTATAAGTGCTTGAGATTTTTCGCAAGGACAATCAGGATGGATTCTGAGCCTCTTCGCCTGGAGTTCCACAGCATGTAGAAATTTACATGTTCAAAGCTGAATCTTCTAACCTTTCACTCTCTCCCATATACTCCACCTTGTTCCAACCCAATGGCAGCACTGCCCACCTAGTCTTCCAAGCCAGAACCCTGGGTTGACATGTGACTCCTATTTTGTCCTTAATCTCTGTGTTCAAGCACTTCATACCGCTAATGATCTTACCTCTGCCTATTCCTCACAGCTTTGCAGTCCTCCACACTTACATCCCTAGCCTCTTTCAGCTACTCATCCTCTCTTTCTTAGAGACTGGCCACCTCCTGACTGGCCTTCCTGCTTGCAGTCTTCTTCCCTCGCACCATCACCAGAGTGAGTGAGTGATCTAAACACGTGCATCTGATGCTGTCACTTTTCAATATAAAACCATCAGTGGTTCCCCATTACATACCTGCTGTGCTTTTCCAACTCTACCATCAAGGCAACCCTAAGGGTAGGTATTTTAACATTTACAAACACTGTTTTGAATGAATAGTACCTCAATTTTGTTTCTTTCCCATAGTGTTGGGTAAAATCGAGTCCCCCAAGAAGCCGGGCCATGTTAATCCTACCTGCCCCCAGGGTTTAAGTGCCCCAGTGTAAGAAGAATAGCGTCCACTTGACAAACCATAGGTTCTTTAGCAAAAGCGCATGAGGCCTTTTCAGGTGGAAAATTTTCATTTCTTCACCTCCTTTCCCACCACTCTTCAAATGGCACATGCCACATTTGTAATATTGTTTGTATTTCCCCCCCAAATGAAGCATGTTGTTTCCAATGTCAGGGCCTTTGCTTATGCTAGTTGCCTTCCCTGAAATGCTCTTTCCTATTCCCTTCGTGTGGCTGACTTCTGTTCCTTCCTTAACTCAGCTCACATTTCATCTCCTCCCGGAAGTCCAGGCCGGCCCTCTGCGTCCTCATAGCACTTAACACTTTGCACTGCAGTCATGCCTTTATGTGTCTTCTCTTAACTAGAATATGGCCTCTCTGAGGCTAGGGACAGTCTCATTTACATCTTTATACGCCCAGCTCCTAGCAAGTATCTGGGACATAGTGGAACACTTAAAAATACTTTGAACTGAGTATGAATGTCATGGTACAAACTGATTTTCATCACAAAACTAAGAACTCCATGTGCATGCATATTGTACTGACAATGCATTTAGCCACAGGAAGGCTCCAACAGCATTTACTCACTCAATTATGATAGGAGACCCAAAAGTTGGAAATGTCTTGTGATATTTTTGAATAACTTGCATTTAGTTTAGACATACATTTGCAAAGATATTAAAATAAAAATACTTCTTACATTCACATGCCTGATCTCACTTGATCTTTAAAATACACTGTTAAGGTTTAGATATTATTATGTCCAGTTTGTAAAAGGAGGCGATTGACTGTTTTTTTTTATTATGGGGGTACAAATGTTAAGGTTTCGTATATTGCCCATTCCCCTCCTCCCCCCTTGAGTCAGAGCTTCAAGTGTGACCATCCCCCAAACGTTGCTGGAATGCATTCTACTAAGTGAAGTATCTCAAGAATGGAAAAACCAGCACCACATGTACTCACCAGCAAATTGGTATTAACGGATCAACGCCTAAGCGGACATATAGGAATAACATTTATCGGGGGTCGGGCAGGTGGGAGGGGGGAGGAGGGGATGGGTATATACAAACAATGAGTGAGATGTGCAATGTTTGGGCAATTAACATTTTGATGGAGTAACACACAGTAACTAAACCCCTTTTGGAAGGCCCAAATATGTTTCAGATATGGAAGCATCTCCGTGAAACTAGTAAAGGGCAAATATTATTCTTACACGACAGGTGAGGAAATAGGATGTTGAGTGGGTTGGTCACTCTGTGCCACTGTCTAAGTAAAAATTGAACTCAGAGCCCTGTGACTCAGTTTAGTCTTGATGCAGTTCCTTATGTGGAGAAATTATATATGAGTTCTTATTAGCAAGGAAGCCTGGGTTGTAGGAGGGAAACCTGAAGGAAGTGTTTTCGATTTTCTTTTTCTTCTTCATAACTGGTTTGTTACTTTTCCTTGGTACATAGAGACACCAAATCATGAATAGAGCAGTTTGGTAGTGAAATTGGAAATTAATTTGGGTTTATTTGGTAGAAGAGAAGTGGGGTAGCAGGGATACTATAGAGACTGAACATTTAAAAAATAATTTGCCCCTTTTGTGACAAATTCATAAAATTCTTAGTTTTAAGTACACATAATGAGACTATCTGAACATGCTATCTGTAATTTTCTAGAATTTTTTTCTTTTTTTTTTTTTAGACAGAGTCTCGCTTTGTTGCCCAGGCTAGAGTGAGTGCCATGGCATCAGCCTAGCTCACAGCAACCTCAAACTCCTGGGCTCAAGCAATCCTGCTGCCTCAGCCTCCTGAGTAGCTGGGATTATAGGCATGTGCCACCATGCCCGGCTAATTTTTTTACATATATATAATATATATAATACATTAAATATATTTTTACATATATATTATATATATATTAGTTGGCCAATTAATTTATTTCTATTTATAGTAGAGATGGGGTCTCGCTCTTGCTCAGGCTGGTTTTGAACTCCTGACCTCGAGCAAACCGCCCGCCTCGGCCTCCCAGAGTGCTAGGATTACAAGCGTGAGCCACCGCACCAGGCCTAGAATTTTTTCTGATAAATGTGAATCTCCAGAAAATGTATTTTTTTTTGTAGTTCTGTTGTTGAATGAAATGCTATAATACTTCCTGTAAAAGGCTATGTTTTACTTCTCTTTACTCAGAATTTTATAAAGCAAATTTAGCAATTACTCTTTTGAAGGGAGAAAAAATTTCACGGAGGTTAAAATGGTAGGTAAAGACATATTATTTAATATAATTATGTTTTAACTCACTCCCTGGTGGCCAGAGATACAAAATAAATTCTGCATATACTTTAAAGCAACAACTAAATGCAAAGATACTTATAATCTTCCTCTTTCCTAACCCCAGAACTTGCTTAAGCAGTTTTTTGAAATATGCTTCTATGCATAAATATGTTAAAGTTAATGCAAATATGCTGGTTAATGCATCAGTATTATCAGACAATTGATAAGCTCAAATATGTGATAGGGCACTTTATTTCCCAAGCTACTGGAATGCTTGACAGTTACACATGTATATCATATATTTATTCATTCAGCCAATGCTTATTAATTTCCTACTATGTGCTGGGCTCCTTGCTGGAAATGAGGACAAAGCAGTGATCAAGTCAGACTTGGTCCTTGCAGGCCAGCGGGGAAGACAGACTGTGTGTGATGGATGCCGTTGGGAGTGTAGAAGGCAGGCCCATCTAGTCAAATGATAGTTACAAAATAAAGTGAAGGCGGGAGTAGATCTTCCTAATGCACAGGAGGTCAGGTCCTTGAAATCCATCAACCACCATGGAAATTAGTTTAAATCACCTGTGACGTATTATAACCCTTCCGGCCTTGGGCTAGAGGCACGTTGGGACCTTAGAGAAGGCTGGAAGAGAGATGGAGGGGAGAGGGGGCAGAGAGGGAGGGGAGAGGCCAATGTTTTCCAATGAAAGCTAAAGGGCTTTGGTGAACAGGGCTCTCAAGAGGCTGACCTCAGTACCCAAGGGTTATTTAGGTGGGCAAAGCTCTTCTGGCCAGTATGAGGCAGTGTCTCTTCCTTGCTTCAGGTTCTGCCTCTGTTGTAATAGGACCCCAGTCAGATGCCGGGCCTCATGAACAGGCTCTGGCTCCTGATAGGAAATGGGCAAGGACTAGATAGATTATCAGGGGAACAGCCTCAGACTAGGGTTCAGGCCAGGGCACTTGTTCTGAAACAGAACCAGAGTGCAGAATGAGCATCACAGCAGATGCAATGAGTAGATCAGAAGGGGTTGGGGATTCGGAGGCTGCTCCTTAGGGGGGCTTTAGGGTGCTCAGGTCCTCCCTAGCGTCAGGCTTAGTGTGGTAGTCTCTCTTTCTCACTCCTAACCCCTCTCTTCCTGCCACCATTGCCCCTCTCTCTGTCATCTGTTTGTTTGTATCCTAATAATATCTGCTATGCCCAAATATTGAATAAGGCTTCTGTTAGCAACAAGAGCTATTAATAGCTTTTGATTGTGGATTTGCCTTTTGTTGGGAGAATGTTATATTCAGTAATTGTCAGCTCATGAGAACATAGGTAAGGCTTGGGTTTTTGCTGCAGAGGTACGATACCTGAAATTAAAATAAATATAAACAACTAACTTCAGTATTTTGATTTACTTATTGACTAATGTTCGTACATGTTTTCTTAACCCAAATTAAAAAGTGTGATAACAAAACTATAAAGGAGTCTTTAATTAGTGAATCTATTGATTTGTTTCCCTAAAGCATCTTTATTTACTTGAAATAACTAAATGGCACACGTGTGTATGTTGCCATGCAGTGGATTGGGATCTTTAGAAATGGATCCAATGGAAATAAACTCATTGTTTATATTTTTGCTCAACTTTATTTTTAAAAAGATCACATTAAAAATGGAACTTTATTTTCCATTTGAATGTAAATTCACTCTTATGTTTCCAGGCGTCTTTCAAAAAATAGGCTAAGCCAGGTGGCACAGGTTTGAACTTATCTCTTGAGAAAGTGATTTTGGCCAAGTCACTTAACTTCTCGGGCCTCAGTTTCTATGAGTAGAATAAAGGGGTACCAACAAAATGGGGTGGTGATTTAGAGCAAACAAGACAGCAGAGATCTAAGTGCTTGTTGATCATAAAATGCTAATGCAGGTGTTTGCTATTTATATTCAGATGCAGGTTGTGCTCACATCATATAAACTAAAATGTGAAAGTCTCCAAAAGCTCAACTAGTTCCTGAGGCAAGAAATGTGAAATGGCGACAGCTAAAAGGGTCAGTGAAACTTTTGGCTTCTAACCAATCCTCTTCAGAATCTTTCCTAATGGCATATTTTAAAAGATGAGGAAAGATAAAGGAATAAAGAGAACTGCCCTTTTTGTCTAACCCTTAAAACATTTTCCTCTTCCAAAGAAACTCGGCTATGGAAACTTGAGGCCTGACTCAGTACTAAAGGTGGCCACTCAAAGGACTGTTTAGAATGTGGTATTTATGAAAGTGAGGTGCCATGAACATGTACTTGTATTAGTCCGAGGTGGACATGATCAGAACAAGCTTGTTCACAAAGCCCTTTCCTCATCCTTGGCCATGAGTCACAGAAATCTGACATCTGGACATGAAATGCTTCCCTGAACAAAAATGGAAATGTGTGTGTGTGTGTGTGTGTGTGTTTAATATGTAAAGGAAGAATGAAATTGAGAAGACACCAGACTCTTTCGGTAACTCAAGTTTTGGGCCAAATTTTAATAATGCAGCTGTCCAGATGTGAGACACTAATGAGAACATAAGGAATTCCTGGATAGAAAAGGGATGGTTGGCCCAATGGCCTGTCTCCTTCAAGTTTATTGCAACACACCTCTTCGTGTTGTCAGCATGTCTTCCAACCCCTTTTGCCTACATAAACATGTCCAGCTGTCTCTTAAACTCATTTTTACTTTACTTTTCACTCAGTAGACTTATTTGGTCATTTGCAGCCTTTTCCATACGCCTTGTGGATCTTTGGATGAAGTAATCCTACATTATCACTATTTCTTAATCATATAAAAATATTTCGATAATAAAATATTTGCAGCAGACATCATTGGAAATTTGAAAGAAATCAACTGGGAAAACAAATATACCTACAGTGAATTTAGAAAGAAACGACTATTCATTTGCTAATCTATATTCTAATTTTTCTTCAAGATATGAAGAATTACGTAGGGAGTGATTAAAGTGAGTAAATATAAAAACTTTCTTCTTTTTATTATATTAGTCTCATTAACAAATCTCTTAGCAAGAAGAAAATGCTAAACTCAATTGATATAATATAGAAGAGTATGTGATGTTTTATTTAGGTTAAGGCCCTAGTTCACATAATATTATTATTTCCTTTATCTTACCAATATTCCAGCCTAAAGTAAATTTGACTTGTGCAAAAAAAAATCAGTATAGAAATGATTTTACAGTAAAAATATATTTTGTTTTCAAAATTTTCCAAATGACTGAGGATCAATGGGCTTGGGTGGGTTCTTAGGTTGACCCTGGGATCTTCTGATTAGAAAATACACCTGAAAACTTTCTTTAAGATTTGATTGAGTCAAGAAAGGGGAAATAACTAAAGGACGGTAGGGAGAATTAATGAATGTTTAATGTATAATTTACATTATAAATTATTTTGCATTTAAATTTTTTGAATGGTATTATTTTAAAACTAATTAAATATATCTGTGTTGATTTGATGTGTATTTTGAGATTACACATCTTGTTTTAGTTTTTTATTGACAGACACGTAGGGTGACCAACTTGGCCTCTGCTTATCTTGGACTTTACTGGCTTTAGCCCTGGAAGTTCCATGTCCTGTGAAATCGCTCAACTTCAGGCAAACAGGTACTTTACAAACACATATTAAAAAATACAAATAATTTACGTCTGAAATGTGCTTGACTTTTTGGTCTGCATGCTCTTTAGACACAGAGGAACACAAACTGCAAAAGTGTTTCATCAGCATGAAGGATTTCGCTTTGATGCTGTAACAGTACATGTTTGGGAGTAGGCACCTTAGTGACTATGGTTAAAGATGACCAATATATTTTTTTTTCTTTTAAATTGTTTCCAAGCTCAGATGCTTGATGGTTTATTTAAAGAATAAAAAAAAAAGAAAGAAAGAAAGAAAAAAGAAAAAGCTGAAAAATCATTGAAAATCAAACTTATTTTTGTCCAAACTTTTCTCTCCAGTCATTTGCTTTCCAGACATGCTTTAAGATACATCCTGAATCTAGCACCTTGAATGGTCCCCCAAATCTCTGAAGCCTAAGCCATATCTATTGTCCAGATTATGGTAGAAAAAGTGATCTGCATCTAGGTATTTTGATCTCATGTGTCTCTCAATTAGAAGAATTCTGTAGGTATTTTGCTAATTTTAAATTTGTGGACTGCGACTTCTTAACTCTCTCAAAGAGGAAGTCTCGATAAAGAGCATGCTTGAATCTACTCCTTAATGATTTTTAGCTTCAGTGAAGCTGTTTGCAAGATTCCTCTTCCTAACAACTGCACTGCCAAACATTGTATAAAGCGGCATGCTTGATGCTTAGAGGATCCCATGGAAGATGACCAAAAGGTTTTAAATACAGATAAATGTAACCAACCACTCATTCAGGATTTCTGCATTTTTGTATACTGCATCTCTGTGGTAGCACCTTGTTCTGTGTGTGCTCACATGTGCGAGTGTGCATGAATATGTGTAAACACGTGCCATTTAGCTACAGAACATGTCACAGATTTCTTTCCTGGTCACCATACTGCATGACTGATCCATTTCATATGATGTGTTTACTATGGTTCATTGCCCACTGGTCTTATTATTTAACAATTTGCATTAAATTGAATTTCCTGTTTACAGGTGTAAATGGAAATTTTGGCTTCTGAGAATTTATTATTTACTGGCTAGAATGTCCTTGGTTGAATTACTCTGCCAATGTTGGATTGTGTATACCTGGAATAAAGTTTGGGATATTTAATTAGAATATCATAGCAATAGGAACTTGTTATTTTTATGGCTAAGCTTAAGCTACCGAGGCCAGATAGATCAGTATTGTTAGTCTAGGAGACATTTACCATAATTCTCTAGAGGTTTTTTAAAAAACCATGTGTATGTCTTGATGGATCAGTGGAAGTTAAATTAGTGGTAATGTGTATAAATTACTCAAAAGTTCAAAAACCTTGAAACCTTTATCATCTGCTATAACATCTTGTTGGTAACTGGAAATCTCTCATTGTAAACTCTCTTGGCTTCCAGCAGGCTCAAAGAGCTAGTATTTATTGACTGTGTGCCACTTGCCAGGCTCGGTGTCATTTGCCTTACCCGCATTGCTCCATTAAATCCTCAAAGTGTCTTATGACGTGGCTATAATGTTTACTTCCATTTTACAGAGAATGGATGCTTAAGAAAGATTATGTACTTTGTCTGCACACATGTCCAGTGTGTGACAGTCTCTGTGAAGCCACTTTCCATGCCACACCTCTATCCCGGGTCCACTATTCCAAATTCCGTAGTGGTCAGTATCCGGTCCTGACGTGTTTCTCATATTCCAGCTCCCTGTTGTTGTCTCCATGTCTCAGAAGACGTGAAAGCCATTTGCTGCATCCTGGGCTTTGGATATGGTTTTCCACCCTTTCCTTCTTTTTGCCTGACACACTCCCAGTTTGGGTTTTATTTTGTTTTTCTCAACTTCAGCGTTGGAGTGGTCACCTATGGTCACAATCTCTACTGGATCTAGTAGAAGTTTGGTTAAGCTCCTGGGACATTGTCCCAGAAGTTAAGCTCCTGGGACATTTTTTTTTTTTTTAATATTTAGCTTCTTTGTTTTTTTTTTTGTTTTGTTTTGTTTTGTTTTTTTTTTAAAAAGACAGCTTTATTTAGATAAAATTCACACACCTTATAGTTCACTCATTGAAAGCCTATAATTCGATGGCCATATGTGCAATCATTCATACAATTTTAGAATATTTTCATTCCTACAGTAAGAAATCCTGTACCTTTAGCTGTCACCATCCCTCCCCTACCCCTATCTCCCTCAGCTTCAGTCAACCACGGCTGTACTTTCTGTCTCTGTAGAGTTGCCTATTCGGGGCATTTTACATGAATGGAATCACATAATACATGGTCTTTTATGACTGGCTTCTTTCATTTAACACAGTGTCTTCAATGTTCACTCATGTTTTAGCATGCCTCAGTACTCCCTTCCTTTTTATGGCTGAATAGTATTCTGTTGTGTGGCTAGCCTACCTTTTGTGCATCCGCTGATCCGTTAATGGACACTTGGGTTGTTTCCACCTTTTGGCAGTTGTGAATAGTACTGTTATGAACATTTGTGTACAAGTTTTTTTTTGCATATGTGTGTGTACAAGTTTTTGTTTGAACACTTGATTTAAATTCTTTGGGATATATACCTAGGGGTGGAATTGCTGGGTCTTAATTCTAGGTTTCACTTTTTGAGGAACTGCCAGATTGTGTTCTGTAGCAGCTGCGCCTTTTCTAATTCCCATCGGCAGTGTAGGATGGTTCCAATTTCTCCACATCCTTGCCAACACTTGTTATTTGCTGTTTTTTTTTTTGTTGTTGTTTGTTTGTTTTTGGTTATACCCATGCTAGGGGGTGTTAAATGGCCCAATTAACTTTTAAGATCTTTTAAAGACTCTAAAAGAAGGCTTTATTCTTTCCTTTTATGTGCTCCCAAGTACTGGTTTACATCTCTCTTAAAGTTTTGTCACCACGTCTTTTAATCTCTTTCTCTTTCTCTGTCTTTCTCCCTTCATCCCTTTCTTGAAACCAGGATGGACAGTCTTATTCCCTTTGTCTTTCCAGGGCATGGTGCCCAGAGCTCAGTACACGCTTGTGAATAAATGAATAAAGGCATGAGGGGGGACAGGGAGTGTTGGTAATTAACGTTCCTTTATTATCACTCCCATTGTGCCAGGCACTGTGCAGCACTAGCATATATTATCTCATTTAATTTTCGTAACAGCAGTAAGAGTCAGGTGTTATGTTATTCATTTTACAGAAGAAGAAGTTGAAACCAGCAAAATTCTCTTGTTATCCAATCACTCTGAGCATAGAGTCTGGTTTCAAAGCAAACTCTATGAACCCCAAGCCTGTGTTAATTTCACGACAACATGCTGCAATAGAGAAAAAAAGGACCACCACTATTCTTATTACTACTACTATGACTATCCTCACTTACTCTGTGTGCCACACCATGATAGCTACTTTTTGGATCCCATCTAATTTCATCATTTAAAATCTAGCGTGTCAGACATTATTATTCCAATTTTTGAGACAATGAAATAGTCACTCACTGAGAAGTTAAGTAATTTGTCCAAGAACAAACAGCTAATAAGCACTGAGCTCAAAAACATGTCTGTTTAATTGTAAAGTTCATGTACTTCTATTGATGTAGGAAAAAATACATTAAAGACCTGAAAGTTTACCTGGTTACCAGACAGTGTGGGGAATCAGCAAGTAACCAGACAACCAGACAGACTGCCCAGCAATTTTTTCCCAAGTACTTTTGCTTTCTCAACTGCCTCAAATCATGATTTTGGTGGTGTAGATATTTTGCTAAATATATTATGAAAAAGGCGCACTGTGACTCAAAAAGAATCTTACTTATAATATGTAAAGTATACTACATCTGACTGGACCGTTCCTTATACAGTAATAGACTGGCTACTCTTGCTTTTAACAATTTGGTCATTTATTCATTAATTCAATATTTATGCCACCTAGCTACTTTTTCTCTTACTATATAAATTCTACCTTAGTGCTGTAGAAAATACTGGTAATAAGCCATGGTAAACATAAACAAAAACTATTATAAGTAGCATAGAGAATTTTTTTATATACTTCAGTTTTATATTCTGATTCATATACTCTGTTTTTAGATTATCTTTCCAGGATTTATACTAGGTTATTAAATATTGGAAAACCTCTGTAGGGCCATGGGGGCAGATATAACTTGAAAAGCAGTGGCGCTGGATACCTTTAAACTTTAAATAATTCATCAATATATTTTCTCATTCTTCATATCTGGTTTTGATGTTTCATCCTTCTTCTTGTGTCAAGTTCTTTATTGCACTCATGCCTTTTTAAGAGTTTTTTTTTTTTTTTTTTTTTTTAAGTAGAGAGCTATGTTACCATTTGGCATATGTCTCCCTTGGCAGTGACATCTTGAAAATTAAAAAAAATAATACCTCCCTCGCATGCATCCATCCAGGTTGGCTGCCTGTAACTGCACGGTGCTTCAAAATATGTCACCTTATTAAATTCTGCAAATTGTTCAGAACATTGTCTCTATAAATGTTTTGGAAGGGCTTTACTGTCAGGTCAGCCTTCTAAGGGCTAGAAATATGTCAAACCTGGCAGCATTACCTTCATTTAAGAGCCAAAATACAAATAAGTAGATTACAAAGCAATCAATCAATACAGAATTGCAGGATGTTATGGTTGGCATTGACCTCGGAGTTCGGCACCCTCATTTTACAGACGAGTAAACTCATCCGTAAACTCTGTAGGAGAGGGTGTTCTGCCCTGACCCAGTCACAGCTAACCCCTAACCTTGGACATGCTGCCGTGCCTCAGTTTCCTCATCTAAAAGAGAGAAGATTTTTCTGTATTAGATACTCTCTGGGCCATTTTCCCAAATGTCAAGTTTGTATGGTGCCACGGCAAATTCGATATATCGTATTTGATATAGTTATAGTCCTTAAAAAGCCTCTGACCTCACATAAAAGATTTTTCTGATCTTTTTATGTGTTCTCCTCATATATTCTTTAAAATTTGGGAGTGCTATCAATTTATAGTTATTGGCAAAATCATAACTTTTATTCAC